ACTGGACCGCCCCCGGGTTTACCACGCGCCCCCTGGTGGCCGCTGAGAAAATACATGGTTTGGGCCATGCGCGCTGCTTCTGTGTCCGGGGCAGCGGGAGGGGGTCTGCAGGTGTTCGGCAGCGTTAACCGTCCTGCCCGGCCGGCGGCAGCATGGCTGGTGCCAGATCTCCACCCAGGAGCTGGGTGTGCGGCTCCCGCCCCGGCCGGCAGGGGTGAGGCTGTGCCCCAGGTCCTTGCAAAGCACCAGCGCAGAGTGAAGATGGCCCAGGGCCTTGGGCCAGAGCAGGAAGGAGGGAGCGGGAGGGAGGGGCCGAAGTATGCCGGGACCCCCCCAGCCCTGTTGCAAGGATGACCTGCAAGTTGTGTGGGACCAGAGGGGGCGCTGTGTCCAGGAGTCAGCCTGTGGTGGGACAGCTCCTGGGTGGGCGAGCCCAGCGGTTCCCAAGCCTGGGGGCTGGCCCCCCACCTCCACCTCCCGTGTGTGCTCCCACTGGACCTTGTCGGTCTAAGGAGGCGGGAAGGCTGCCCCCTGACCCGAAGAGCTTCCCCGCCCGCCCCAGGGTTAATGATTCTCCATCAGCAGATCTCTGGGTGCACCTTCCCCCGGAAGTGGCTGCTGGGCCACCTGGGGCCGGGCATGGCCTGCTGAGCTGCCTGCCTCTGGGTGGGGGGGGCTGGAGGAGGAAGTGGGCTGAGCTCAGGGACCCTCGTCCGCTTTCCCAGGGAGCCAGGGGCACAGCTGGGGTGATGGGGCCTCTGCCTCATCCGTGGTCGCTGCTCAGAGGGAGTGACCCTGCCGCTGGGCCCTCTAGCCAAGTGCCTTCTGTGCGCCAGGCGAGGCCGGCACCTGTGTCTGCTCAGTGCCCTGCACCCACCCTCACAGTCAGGGTCCTGGGGGTCCTGGCTCCCCTGGATGTGCTGCAGCCTGCAGGTGGCCCAGACAGTGTCAGACCTGGGGACCCCGGTGGCCTGTGCCCCAGGGATGGCCCTGGCCCTGGGAGGGGGATCTGTGGGTCCCGGGTTCCCCGCTGGTGCCCACAGAGCACCTGACAAGACCCCATCGGATCCCAGGGGGAGTTAGCATTCCTGCTCTGCCCAGCCTGACGAGGTCACGGGACACGGCTGAGAGGGAGCTGACTAGTGCCTCCTGCCCCCACCGACCTCCCGTTCCAGGGAGCCTGGTGTCTGCCAGGCCACCCACGTGGCTCCGTCCTCCCTGCTGGGCTTCAGGCTCCAGGAGAAAGTGCAGACGCCCCAGAACAGACCCCAGGCCCCACCCGAGAGCCCGGCCTGGCTGGCAGCCCTGGCCTCAGACGTGCCTGTCTGCCCGGCAGCCCCGGGCGTGTGGCCAGGCTGGGCTCCGTCTGAACCCGCTCGGCGTCCTCGGTCCCCGACCCGCAGTATCCGTGCATTTCCCACCTCCCGGGTTCTGACCTGGCTTTTCCAGGAACCACATTTCAGATGCTGCTCTTTGCATTTTTATTCTTAAAGTGTCCAGGCTGCTGAGCCTCCCGCCAGCCCCTCCCAATTTGAGGACGGTCCCCAGTGTGAGTGCTGGGGGTCCCTGCCAGCGGGCCCAGTCCAGCCCTCACTCCCCTGGCCCCATGCTGCCTGGGGGACCCCGGAGGGTTCATAGAGCCCTGCTCATCAGCTTCCCCCGGGGCTGATCCCAACACGAATGAGGCGGGACTGGGCTCTCCCTGGGGTGCCCGCCAGGGACCACGCCTCCTGCCTCCTGGCCGCTGGGCTGTTGTTCTGGTTTTCTGTTTGCTAGAAACTGATTTAGAGAGAAACGCTGACTTCCGCCCCCCTGTGCATTCACTGGCTGGTCCTGTAGGTGCCCTGGCGGTCGAACCACAGCCCTGGTGCTCGGGGAGGACAGTAACAGCGCGCCCAGGCCAGGGCAGCCCCGGCTGTGACCTCAGAGCCTGTGCGCCACTGAGAGCCACTCCGCTTCCTGGTGGGGCTTCCTGTGAGTCCCGTGTCCGTGTC